CGGTGCGGACCCCAGCCAGCCCGCCGAGCTCCTCGGGGAGATGGACCGCACGGAGTTTGAACAGTACCTGCACTACGTGTGCAAGCCCGAGATGGGGCTCCCTTACCAGGGACACGACTCGGGTGTGAACCTCCCTGACGGCCACGGGGCCATTTCCTCCGTGGTGTCCGATGCCAGCTCTGCGGTATATTACTGCAACTACCCTGATGTTTGACGGGCTCCGATTCAAGCCAGCCTGCAATGCCAGAAGCACAAACAGTGTTCCACACTTCCTGGAGGAGCTAAGGAAATCCTTAGCCTCATGTTGTTGTGTTTTGAAGTTGCCTTGGCATATAATTTATGGTAATTTATTTTGTCTGACACTTGAACAGTTGGGGGAGAGAAAAAATGTGAGGTTGTATGTTTAAGATTTGTTCCCACAGAGTCATTGCCAAAACCCTGTTTCCCAAGTTCAAGTTTACCAGTTTTGATTTGTCCCAGAACCACTTGCTCCATTTCCTGAAATTTTATTGATCACAGAAATTTTGTCTCGGGTGTCATTTTTCAATCTTAAAATAAAATAAAGCCTGGAATCCTACTTTTTTCACTTTGCTAGTGCCTCTGTCACAAACGCCATTTCTTGAGACCAACAACTATTACTAGGACTAGACATGTTAATGGTGACATTTAGCACACAGTTACTGTAAATTTCTCATTCTCTTACAAGAGTAGGCCTAACCCGACTTCAAAGAGAAACCCTAAAAATGAACGTTAGGCTATCCAAATCTGATGTTTTTGCTAGGAAAAGAATCCTTACCGAATGAGCCTATTTCAAAAGTGATCATAGTCTCTAAAAAATAATGGTTAATCTTAACACTTTAAATACTTTCAATTTTAATATATCACTTTTGGTTACCAGAGAAAACAGTCAAGTAATTTTGGTTTTCTAGTCGGTTTTCTATATTTCTTGAGAACTGCTTAAAGAGGCTTTTGTTTTTGTTTTTGTTTTTTCTTGTCATCTGTATTTCACCAATAGTGTTTCTATTTCCTCTCAACAATGAACTTGCTTTTAATAATCCTCACAAATCTACACCTTGGGAAGTAGTGTTACTGGATTGAAAATAATTTGAAGGAGTCACAGGAATAAAATGTGCATTTTGATCTTACATATTTTTTTCATCTTCACTCAAGGATTTGTTTTGATTTTTAGAGAGAGAAAGGGAGAGAGAGAAACATCGATTGGTTGCCTCCGGCACCTGAGTGCAACCTATGTATCTGCCCTGACCCTGCAACCGTTTGGGATGATGCTCCAACCAACTGAGCCACCCTGCTAGGGCTTGACCTTAACTTTTAATGAACCTTACCATCTATCATTTCATTAGGATATTTTGATATTACAGGTTAACTGCACCTGTGGCCAATTAACATTTCTTGGCACCTGCAGTGAACTTTGGAGGGATCCAGGGATGACTTGTAGGTAGTGTACCGCCCTAGGACATCACTGTGCGGCCATTCTAGAGAGGAAACTGAGTCACAGGGGTGTGAAGTGCGGGCTCAGCCCTGCTAGGTGCTGCAGCACAGCTTGCAGTGTCCCTTTCCATCACATTTTACAGACTGAGGCATAAATGGAAACAGGACTTGTCATGGGCACTTGCTGTGCCAGGGGTGTTGTCCTTGCCATTTTGTACTGAGTTGAGCCTGATCAATCCCGTGAGCTTATTCTCTCCATTTTGCAAGTGAGGAAAGGAGACACTGAGCCCTCGCCTGCCACACGTATGGTAAAAATTTGGTGTTTAAGTTCCTACAACCTTTGTTCCGTTTTCCTTTGTACCAGGGTATGTCCTTGGGCAATGGGAGAACTTACATTCTGGTGGTGAGAAACTATAACTTTCCACACTAACAACTTTCTACAGATAAAAGGAAGGAGAAAGAGGATAGCTTGAAGCATTTATGTTAAAGAGCAGGGGTCCTCAAACTTTTTAAACAGGGGGCCAGTTCACTGTCCCTCAGACCGTTGGAGGGCCAGACTATAGTTTAAAAAAAAAACTATGAACAAATTCCTATGCACACTGCACATATCTTATTTTGAAGTAAAAAACCAAAACGGGAACAAATACAATATTTGTATTTGCATGTGGCCCGCAGGCTGTAGTTTGAGGACCCCTATTAAAGAGGGATACTCAGCTGAAATGGTTGGCTAGATTCTCTTGAGGAATGGCAGGGTATATGTTTTGTAGAAAAGGTTCCTGCAAACATTTTGTCTCGGGTGTCATTTTTCAATCTTAAAAAATAAATAAAATCTGGACTTACACTTTTTCATTTTGCTAGTGCCTCTGTCACAAACGCCATTTCTTGAGACCAATGTTAACTATTAATAGGACTAGACATTTTAATGGTGACATTTAGCACACAGTTACTGTAAATTTCTCATTCTCTTATAAGAGTAGGCCTAACTGACTTCAAAGAGAAGCCCTAAAAACGAACATTTGGATATCCAAGTCTGATATAATGCTTGGAACAGAAAGTTTCAGGGAAGAGATGTAAGTCTTTTGTTTTGTTTTTGCCTATAGTGCTCTACCCTTCTCCACATGTTTTCTTTCTCTGACCCCAGACAGGTTCTGCTTCCAGCCTGAGTACCTTCTCCCAGATGCCTCAAGAGGCCTCACTTGCTCAGGTTCAAGGCTGAATCACCAGTTCAGATCACACTGGACATTTTAGAGCATACTTGGTTGGCCCAATGAGAGTCAGTTGTACCCTTGGCTGCCACCTTTAAACAAAATTAATAGGGAAAAGGAAAGAAAGAGTACTTAAATGGAAGAATCCAAAGTCCCATTAAGTTACATTCATAAGTACTCACTAGGGACAGGTGGGAAAATAAGAGCCAACGTTTTAAGCATTCCCAATGCCTTTCACCCCAATGGAGGGGAATTAGTCTTCCCAATAAGTGGGGGGAGTGGGGGCTGCAGAAACACCCAGCCCACTCAGACTCAGATGAAGTGATCTCGGGTACTAGCTAATGTTACTGCTTTTGTTTTACTTTGGAAGCAAACACACAAAAGATAATATTGCTTCCCCCCATCTCTGCTTCTGAGAGGCTTTAGAAGTATATCAGGTGGTAAAAATTCAGGGCAGCTCTCACTTAAGTTTTAAGCAGCCTTAGATGTCTTATTTGAATTCACCTTATATGAAGGAAGCTAGGAATTCCCTCCTGGAAGAATGCACACATATACTTGCACAATATTTCATGAATTTTAGGCAATTCATGACCCCTTGTCACTCATCCAAGCATTGTAGGAATCTGAAGCCCTCGGATTTGGAAGCCCTAACAGTGAAGGTTTGTTGAGAAGCATGGCACCCAAGTATCAAAAAGGCAATTTTCCTATATTTAAAACCACAAAGGGGTAGCTCAGGAACTCGCTCAAGTAATTCAGTTCTCCCTTTTTGAGACATGAATCAAGGAAGATGGGGAGTAGTATGTCCCTCTCTCTAAGTGTAAAGGAAACCCATGAGGCCCTGCCAAGATGAATAGATGGTCTTTTCCTGTGTGCAGTTGTGGTGGTGGTGGTAGCTAGTCTCCAAGATTGGCCCCATGAACCAGACCTTGGGTATTTACATCCTTGTATAAACTCCTCCCACACTGAATCTGGGTCGGTCTTGTGATTCTAACTCAATAGAATTCCATGGAAGTGATGCAGTGCCAGCGCCTGGGCCCAACTCTTAAGAAAGACTCAGCAGATTTCCTTTCTTGTACTCCTGGAAACCCTGAGCTACCGTGCAAATGGTCCAGTTACCAAGGTAGGGAGACGATGTGGAGAGGCCACTGCAGAGGCGAGGCCCTGTGACTCCCTGAAAAGAGAGAGGGCTCAGCCTTCCTGACTCCCACCTGCTGCCTGCCCGCCTACCACCATCTGATAGGAACTCAAGAGAGGCCAGAAGAATAAATGCCCAGATGAGCTGAGGCAATTCACAGGTGGGAAAGATTAAAGAAAAAAAAAAGATAGTTGTTGTAAGCCACTGAATTTGGGGGTGTTTTGTTATATAGCAATGGATTATTGAAACAGTTGTTCTCCTTAAGCCTTTTATATGTTTAAGTATAAGAATGTGGGCACTGATGAAAAAGGGCTTTGGGGCCTGTCAGGGATACCAATGTAGTTTTTATGTGAAGGACAGAATGTAAAACTTGGGACTCAGGTTATATCATTAAATGCACAGTCTCCTCTTTCCTCAAGCAGACGCAGATAAAGTGATCACTAGATACCTAGTGGTTTTTAAAAGTATTAAATTTGCCTTATTTTTAATGGTTTTATTTTTTATTTAGGGAACAAATAAAGAATACATTGCCCCTCCCCCCCATCTCTACTTCTGAGATATACTTTTGTTGTGTGACAGGAGGTGGGGTCCAGCCCTTTCATGGACTGAGATATCCTGACCCGATGAAAGCACGGTGTTTACACCTGTTTGAATGACCCAGAACAGTCAGGAAAAGGGCATTTTCCTTCTCACCAAGCCAGTGACTACTTCTCTGTTAAAGCTACCAGGGTGGGTCTGGTAAATTACAAATAAATTTGTAAGTTATTTATGGAAGCGGCTGAGAGAGGATATCACCATGAAATTGTACCTTTGATTTATTATTATTATCTCTGAATATGACTGTACTTTTGAATTATACTGCAGAAGACACCAGCTCCCTCTTTAAATTTGTGCTGGTATCAGGAAAAGCACATTGAGTTGAGTGCCTTGCTTGTCTCTTGGCACCTCAGCGATTCCTAAAGTTCTTGGAGAAATCAGGAGTTCCTGTGTTGCCTCTCTTCTACTTGAGACAGTTGCCAGTGGCTGTTACTCCTTTCTCTTAAAGAAGGTGCCAGAACATCGAATTTAGCAAAAGAATTGGAGCAATGAGAGTGACTGCATAATGCCACCGTGGCACTATTCCAAAAGAAGAGAAGCCTTTGCATTTTGAGTCAGAAATTCATCTGGCTCAGCGACTTAGCTGTGTGAGTTTGGATAAATTACTCATATTTTTCTAAACAGTCTTCTCATCTGTAAAAAAGTAGGGATAATGATAAAAGCCCTGACTCTCTCACTGGATGATTGCAGGGGTTCAAAGAGATTGTGCTTAAAGGATTGCTTCAGTGCCCCAGCAATTGCTCTCTCCTTTGATTTTATGTATCTCTATGTCCCCCCAGCAGATTTGGGTGGTTTAATTTCATTATTCCATTGGGAAAGAAGACAACAGTATCTTGGTACTTGGATTAGTGGACTGAGCCTTGTAAGATTGTCCATATTAGCAGGAAACACAGACTGTCTGTGGATGACAGGGTCTCTTTGATTACATAAGTCTAGAAATAACTGTAACTTAAAGAATTTCACATCAAATGCCTCAATTCACACAAAATCCCTTTTACATGAAAATTTCAAGGTCTTTACACAGAGACAGTTAATTGGGACTCACTGAATGTGACATCAAGTCTGCTAACATCCTCTTTTCAGTTCTTTCTTTCTTCTTTCTTTCTTTATTTCTTTCTTAATGAACAAAGTTGGAATTCTTGAGGGGGAATAACCAAAGTGGAACAGGGGAGGACAGGAAGTTATGAAATCATCTCTAGCTTGATACTCAGGTTTTTCAATCAGTCAGTCCTAAGAAGTCAATGGTAGAAGGATGAAGAGAAAACAATTCTGAGACATCTCTGAACTGAAGAAACAATTTTACAGTTGTTCCCTATTAGTGGGTTCTTCTGCTTATTTTAATAAACCTGTTTGGACATTTGAAAGCAATAGTAGGAATTGAAGGTGTACACACATACTACAAATATGAAACTGAAAAGGGCTTAGTGAGGTTAGGGGGGGGAGAAATAAGAAAGAAGAAAATAAAAAATCAAGTTTGTAGTTTCAGTAAAGAGACTGTAGGTATGGAAAGTGTATAATTTTTATTTATTCATTTAAAAATAATTTAAAAAATTTAAATGATGCACACACACAAAAAGGTAACATTGAAGAGGGGCTTGTAATATAAACTAAGAGTTGTAGCAAGATTCAACCCTCCCCACCTCCAGCCCATTCCCCAGGTCAGTCAATCCTTTTTTTTTTTCTTTTTTTTTTTAAGTTCTATTGGCTGTTATCTACATTAACAACTTTCTTCCTCCAGCGGCTAATTAATATGCCTGAGCAGCTAATTCTGTTTATCAGTTTTGAGCATTGACTTCTTGCTATAATCACTAAGCATTTCCTGTGCTCCGCTATCTACCGAAGGTAGTTTAATCCTTATTTCCGCATCTTCTATGGATTATCATTGCCTTTTCAAGTACTGAGATTACACACCCCTTTTCTTCATCCATCGCCAAGGCGAGTCTTTCCTCCACTGTGAGAAGGTGAGGATATCGGTGCCCCCATCTTCCCCAGGGCACACTCCTCTATTTTGAGAATGTGGCTTTTTAAATACATTTTTTTTTTCCGGCAGAGGGTGGGGAACAGCTGAAATCCTGATGCACGCCTTATGTGGAAAGATATTTTTACAGCATTTCAATCAATACCAGACAACCGCGATTGCTGACTACCGTGGTTGGAATTTTAAATCCACTCACCTCTTACAGCCACTAGTTAAAAGAAATACTATCCCTAACGCTTTACACAAAGAAAAAACAACAGCGTGTAAAGGACAAACTCTAAGCTCAGCGGTCGGTTTCCACCCGCCTCCACCTCTCCCTCGGGGCTCTCCCTGGTCCCGGGGAGACCGAGCCACTGCCCTCTCTCATGGGCATCTCGGAGCTGGAGAGGCGCTGGAGGCCGAGCGCGCCGCGCTCCTCCCGCCCGGAACCCGCACTGCAGCTGCTATTCATTCGGAGGAACATTGTAACAATACTTTGCAAGGATTTTAGCTTAGATACGTAAAAGATCTTTTAAAAGATCTAAAGTTTGGTGTAAATAATCATAAAAAAAGAAACCGTGTGTCAAGGAGAGCCTGGCCACCCGGGTAACAAAGACGAAAAGACTGCGACGCCGTGCGTTCGTTTCGGGCGCTGGGTGCCCGCCTGGCGCCGGGACCCGCGGCCTGAAACCCATCGGGCTGGGAGGTGAGAGCGGGGCTTCCCTGTTGAACTCGTCCCGGAGCCCGCCGGCCCTCGGAGAAGTCAGACGGTTCAAACGTGACGTCCGGGACCGACTTTCCTCCGAGGAGGGGAGGGGATTTGGGTCTCGGAGGCTTCTTTTTTGCCGAGGAGGGAATGAAAGCCTATAAACACGGGCTGAACTTCAGTGAACGAGTGGCAGCGGGTCGCGATGCTCGGCGCCTGGGTTCTCGATGGGCCCCGTCGGTGCAGAGAAAGCCAAGCGGCCCAGGGGTGCGCGCAGTGTCAT